GCTTGCACAGCAGGCAGAGAAATCACTGAGCTAAATCCCCAGCCCCTCTATTTTTTATTTTGAGACAAGGTCTCACAAAGTTGCCCAGGTTGGCCTTGAGTTTGCAATCTTTCTGTCCCAGCCTCTTGAGTGGCTGGGGTTACAGGAGTGAGCAGGATCTGCTCTAGTCTATTTCTCATTTGTTCTTTGTTTTCCAATTTCAGGCCCAGGCAATGTGTACAGTTGTTTAGCTTTCACTGTCGCTCCCAAGAGACTGAGGGTGTTGAGGCTGGGGATTTAGCTCAGTGGTTCCGGCACCTGTCTCCTAAGCACAAGGTCCCGAGTTCCATCCCCAGTACCAAAGAGATTCAGAATGTTGAATTATTGTTTTTTTTCGTTTTTTTGAGACAGTGTCTTGCCATCTAGATAAGGCTGGTTTTGTTTTTTTTTAATTCTTTTATTGGTACATTTTAGGTATGCAGTATGTTTACATTTATCATTGGGTGCTTTTACCTGTACATGATGTTAGATAAGGCTGGTTTAGAACTCACCATGTAGTTCAGGCTGGCCTGGAACTTGAAGTGATCCTCCTGCCTCAGCCAGCCTCCCAATTGCTGGGACCACAGGTGTGTCCCACCATGCCCAGGTAGTTTTGCTGTTTTTTTAAAAATCTACAGGATGGAGGCGGGGATTTGGCTCAGCGGTTTCGCCATCCCAAGTTCGATCCTTGGTACCGAAAAAACAAAACAAAACAAAACACAAAAAAACCCCATAAAATCACACTGTAAAGCTCCACCTGACTTTTTCTGTTTTGTTTTGTTTTGTTTTGGTACCGGGGATCGAACTTGGGACCTTGTGCTTGCGAGGCAGGGGGTGGAACCACTGAGCTAAATCCCCGGCCCCTCCACCTGGCTTGTTTTTAAGTCAGACAAAACTACAACAAATACAGAAATCTTACTTGGTTTTGCGATCGTACAACTGGAATGAACACAGAACGAATGGTCTCACGAAGCAGGTATAGAAAGTTGGTTTTACAGACACGAGGGCTCTGGAAAGCTGAAACAGAACACAAAGCCGATAGGTTCTATCAGAGTTACAGCACTTCCTTGTACAGGTTGGGGCAGAGGGGACTTCCTAATCATGCTGGTTATAACTAGCCTACTTGAAGATGTCTGTTATTTCGCTCTCAAGTTCTCGGAAGGTCAGAAAAACAACTTAGTTCTCACTTGGTGGCTTGGAACTTTAGCACGGATAATTCTGCTCTGGTCTGGTCCGTTAGCCTAGGGCAGGCTTGGCCCAAAGCAATGGACACTGAACGCATAACACGTAGAACCAGGGGGGTGGGTGTAAGAGGCCAACGTTCTTCTCTTCATCTGGAAACTCAGAGTTCACCGGAGCATGGATGGGAATCAAGACCAAGCCAAGGGCTCCGCAGGCTGAGGTGCCGCGGGTGAGAGGGCGCAGGAGCCCGGGGACCGCGCCTGGGAGGGAGGGTCGGGCTCGGGCAGATCGCGTCGCCAGAGGAAAAGTCCGCCTCTGCCCCAGCGGTCGCCGACTGCTGTGGGGGACCCCCGGAACGCACTCGCCAGGGCCAAAGCCAGGCTCTTGACACGGCAGCCCAGAGGGGCGTCAGGCGCTACCTCGCCCAGTCGTGAATCCGAGGGCGCCCCTTCTAGCGTCAGCAGCCGCGACACTCCCGGAAGTGACGACACCCGACTGTCAGGCGCTGCGGTTTCTCGACTAGTGGATTGGCGCTCCTGACGCCTCTGCGCTGCGCATCATCAAGCCGCGCCGCTCCCGGAAGTGACGACACCTGGTGTGAGCTGCGAGTTGCGCCGAATCCGAGACTGGAGATCCCAAGCCATGTTGCCTTCGGGCGTCATCGGTCGGCGTCGCCGCAGGAAGTGACAGAAACTCCTGGCGCGCGCCGGGCGGTGTTTCTTCTGTTTCGGGGACCGGCGGCGGCGGCAGCGGCGCAGGGGTGAGTGGCGGCCGGGCGGCCCGGGCGGAGAGCGCTGGGCGGAGGCGCCCCTGAGGGCTCGGGCCGAGCAGGCCTCAGGGCGGGGGCGGGAGTGAGTGCGGGCCAGCGGCACCCCAACTCCCGCGTAGTCTCGCCCCAGGCGGACCTTTGGTAGAAGAGGTGGCGGGCCAGGCGCTCCCGGGAGCCAACCCCTGCCGTGCTGAGATTCACGCTTGCGCGACTGAGCCCAAGGAAGTAGGAGCCCCGCGCCCGGGTCAGGTAGCCTTGTTCGCGAGTGCACCTTCCCCGGGCGCCCCCACCCCAGCTCGCTCTCTACCCCGTGAGGGAGCGTCCACCTGTCCAGGGACCAGTGCCTTCACTTGACCCAAGTGGTCTTCCTGATACCTCGTTTTGTCATCAAAGGCGGTGCCTGATGAGTGCCAGGCGCTGAGCTGAGGGTTTTTACCGGCCCATTAGGTGGGTGTTACTCCCATTCTATGGCAAAGTGTACTGAAGCGAACAAAGTTGCCCAAGATCTTACAAAAGAGACAGGAAAGGGGTGAGAGCCCAGCAGTCACTTTTCAGAGCTCTTCCTTCTGAGGACTCATTCAGAAACACTCAAAAGTGACTAAGTTTAAATGTTCAGGAACAATGGAGCATCAACCACAGCTTGGTGTGTCCCGAGGTTGCTTGAATTATTTTTCTTTTTGCAGTGTTTTAACTCAAATGGGTGATGAAAAGGACTCTTGGAAAGTGAAAACTTTAGATGAAATTCTCCAGGAAAAGAAACGAAGGAAGGAACAAGAGGAGAAAGCAGAGATAAAACGCTTAAAAAATGTAAGCTATGTTTTTTAAGTAAGTGGTTTTCTTAAAGGAGATTTAATTTCTTTGCCCTCATTTTTCCATTAGAACAACGTTTCTTCGGTGAAGTTCTTTTGTACTTCCAAATGTCACAGGTGAGCCCAAAATCTATTCTAAAAATTAACAGAAACATTCACATACTCAGTTTACATTGAAAGCAGATTGATAACGCACTGAAGCTGTGTCTAGATGAGACTGTCTACATGGAGAATAAAATGTTCTGAACCTAGAATCATTAGTGCAGCTTGGCTAATTTTCCTCGTTAATACCATTTCCAAGCACTATTAATGCAGTGGGAACTTGCCTTAAAATTACTGTTAATGCGTGTTCTCTGTCTTTCTTGGTTTGCGTAATAACATACTCAGAAAAGTTTTTTAGTAATTGATTAAAACACTGACATCAGCACTTCTGGTAAGATTAGGAACAGATCGTTTTTCAGGTATTTATCAGTATTATGAGATTCTGAAAAGTGTTTGCTGTGTAAAATATGACTTCAGCCTCGGTTTTGATCCATAAGCAGCTGACATAATGGCCATAAAGTCTAATGTCTCTTGTCGTAAATCCTGATTTTAAAGTTTCCATCAGATTTTGAGTTTACAGAGTTGTAATTTTCATGTCATGGGATTTGAATAAAATGTTTTATATTTTGTAGCATTTGCTTGTTCAAAGTATCTATGGAAGGGGCCAGGGATTTAGGTCAGTGGTTCCAGAGCCTGCCTTGCAAGCTGAAGGTCCCGAGTTCGATCCCTGGTACCAAAAAAACCCAACAACACAACAACAGCAGGGTATCTATGGATGTTTGTTTCGAGATGTCAGCAAAGTTTGGTTATCATTTAGAAATACGTCTGTCTGTAAGGAAAATGACATATTTTCTCTTTGCTTCCTAGTCTGATGACCGGGATTCCAAACGGGATTCCCTTGAGGAGGGGGAGCTGAGAGATCACCGAATGGAGATCACAATCAGGAATTCACCGTACAGAAGAGAGGACTCTACGGAAGACAGGTGAGAAAATTTTCAAGTTGGTGAAGACAAGGCTGTGAAGAGAGGCTGGGGAGCCCCTACACTACCCAGGGCCCGGGCACCCTTGCACAGTTGGTTGTCTCTGGGTTATCAGCCACCACTTCATCCCTCTTCTCATGCAAAGACTGTACAAGGGCGTATTCCTGTCTGTCTGAAGATTCTCCAGGCAGGTTAGCATCTTTAGATAGTACATTTAAATGTCTGCCCTGTGTTGCAAGCCTAAGGTTTTACACAGTGCCGAAAAGAATGCTGAGAGGGGCTGCTATGAGTAACGTGCACACTGAGCCCCGTGTGTTCTGCTGTTTGATCCTGTGCTGTAGTATCTCATCTTTGGTTTCCTTCTCATATCTTCTGAGATAATCAAAGGAAATATGACCACAAATTAAGGTTGAATACTTATCCTGGGAAGCCAAGAGTGTGCATTTTTCCAAGGTTTTGGTGGTATAGAATCAGTTGAAGATACTGTTAAATGAACTTTTTAGATCATTAAATAGCTTGATAAAATTTTGGAATCTTTTTAAACATCTGTTGACACAAAAAATGAACAGTTTGGGCCCGGGGATTTAGCTCAGTGGTTTCGTCACCTGCTGCACAAGCGCAAGGACCCGAGTTTGATCCCCAGTACAAAAAAAAAAACAAAAAAACAACTGTTTGATACATTTGTACATGCCAGTGAATGCATCACCATAATCAAGACACTGAATATGGCCTTCCTCCCTTAAAAAGAAGTATTTTTGTTCCACATACCACATTGATTCTCAAACTTTTCACCTGAGTCTTAAAACGCCTTAAATTTTAGAATTGACATAACTTTTTTTTGGTCTTGTTTTGTTTTTTGTTATTTATTTTCGCTTGTTTTTCTTTTCTTTTCTTTTCTTTTTTTGGTACCAGGGATCGAACTCAGGACTCTGCGCTTGCCAGGCAGGTGCGGCACCACTGAGCTACATCCCCAGCCCAATTGCTTGTTTTTCTTTTAATGACTCTTTTAAAATTATGGTTCAGGTTTACCTTCATTTCCTTTTGAACCCTTGTTTTTTCTGGGCTGGAGAAACTCCACAAGACCTTGTTTCTCTGTGCATATCTCCAGCTTGATGAAGTGCGTTGTATTTTATTTCAGAGGAGAGGAAGATGACTCTCTGGCTATCAAACCACCCCAGCAAATGTCTCGGAAGGAAAAGGCCCATCACAGGAAAGATGAAAAGAGAAAAGAAAAGCGCAGGCATCGTAGCCATTCAGCAGAAGGAGGTAAGAAGTCTTTGTTTTCTTGGATGTTGTTGTTATATCCTTCATGATCTTCCTTCTCTAGAGCACAGTGGAGAGAAGAAATAAAATTTTAGCTGAAAGTACAATTTATTGTAGATCATTTGAGAAAACTACATCATTTTCCTTTTTGTGTTTTTTTTGGCTCATTATATTGTTTTAAAGTAGTTTGTCTACCTATAACATACCATAATTGTATAAGGATTAGAAAAAACACTCCCCCCGAAATGGGTGTTTGGTGAAGTCCAACTTAGTGGCTTTAGCTTGATTAGAGGTTTGATTTCATGCCAATACAAGAGGTTCTTAGGAGCCAGGCATGGAAATGCACACCTGCAACTTCAGTACTCTGAGACTGAGCCAGGATGATCATAATAAGTTCAACCCCAACCTGGGCAACTTAAGGAGACCCTGTCTCAAAATGAAAAGGGCTGCAGAAAAAGAAAATAAATTAGTTAAAAG